ATAATAAAAGAATAAAGGTTGTATATTAGGTGCTATGGGATGGTGTTATTAGACTACTCGTAGTGTTAGCTAACACTGGTGATTTATTAATTATCTACTTTCTTTCTTATCCAGTACGAAAAACGGATATTTTACTTGTTATATTATAAACACAAATGAAAATTTTCATATATTTGTCAGTTAATTCCAAAACTTGATAAGACCAAATCTAAAATTCAAAGGGCCGTTCTTTTATTTTATATGTTAGCATTATATATTAAGGAATATATTAAAACATGGCATTTTCGATTCGTTTAATGGGGTGTAGCGTTATCCTTAACAGCGCAGAGTTTTAAACTATAAAAACTTTTATTTAAACAGACAGTATTTCTTTTTGATTATTATTATTATTTCAACTTTATTATCAGAAGTGCATGAAAAATTTCAATTGCTAACAAATTCTACTACTAAACTAAACTCAGTGGCGCGCCAGCCCATAGAGGGCCAAGATCTACTGTGCCCATCTCAGTTTTCTTGACCTTGGGCTCTGGGGTGCAGGAGCAGATGTTCCGGTCAGGTGATCAACCGAACGCGGAACCCCCAGTGTTTAGTTCCCAAACTTGCTTGGTACTCATTTATCGACCCACTAAAGGGATGAAAGGCTGAGCCAACCTTGCCCGGCCCGAGGATCGAACCACGGACCTGTGGCACGACAGCGCGAAGCGCTACCGCTTAGCCACCGGGCGTCAACAAAATCTATGGGGTGATAAATTATAATGATCAGGCAACAATATATGCCTTAATTTTTATGATCTTTTAATTTAAAGTTCGTTGGAGTTTTTCGGAATCCAATGATTTCTGTCAAAACAATTATTTTTAAAGTACCTTACAATATTTTTCTTTAAAAAAAAAAATATTTATAATCTCTAAACAAATCTATATTTTTAAATTATGTAAAAAAATTTATTTTCAGGATAAATTAATGCATTAAAATTATCTGATTAAAAAAGTATGGTTGCATGCAGATAAAACATTTGCTATCTTTTTCTTTAAGTATCTTTCAGCTAATTATCGTAAAATCCGCTGAACTTTTTGCAATATTTGTGTGACCAATACATTTAACTACAACTTAGTGATAAAATATGCAGTAACGTGTTATTGCATATTTCATTACTTTCAGAAAATCAGTAAATTTCAAATTTCATTACGGTTTTTTAAAACAACAGACCGTATATGCAATACACAGGAATTTTTCACATATTTTAACGAACTATACTTAAGGAAGATCTACTCTGACGTCATCACGACACATTTCTAGAAGTTTATCCTGGCCCAACTGCCTACAATGCCCTCTAGCAATACTTAACGGAAGCGGTTTGTTGATTCAGTAGATGTGAATAGTTGACACTCTACCTACAGTATATTATGAAGTGTCTTAGTCACAATTTTGTTTTTACTTTTGAACGATTATATTTGTCGCATGAACCAATAATAATTTTTTTGTGATTTATCGCTTCAATTTGAGTTTTTATACTTTACTAAATAAAAATTATTGAATTAAGATTTGATTGCGTAAATTTGCGTAAATTTCGAAATATTTTCAAAATGTAGACACATAAAATTTTCAACTCCAAATCTTTTTTTTAACATTTAGTTCTATATGGCGCAAGTATTATTTCTTTCGTATTCTGATTTACTTCTGTCTATTTCTATTCTTTCATGTAATAAATTCTACTATAAACAGAGGAGAAAAAAAAAGAAAAGAAATCTACAATAATACCACTTTTTCGTATTTATTCTTCCATTAGATTAAGACTATTAATGGTGCATTTCATCCCTGTTAGTACGCATTAAATTCAACACTGAAACAAATATAAGAACAAAAAAGTTATGAGAACTTGAAATATTTAAAATAAACCGTTATTTACTTAGCGAAATGTAATTTTGTTTTCATCAACAAACGAAATCCACATAAAATTGACATCTAACCTTTCATAGAGCTAAAATAAAAGAAATGACCACAAACGATTATACAGCACATTACAAATTCAGTTAAAATAATAAATGAAAATGATAAACTCACCAATTCATCAATCTAATTGATAGTTAAGCTTTTTGCCGCAGCATAGCGCTAAAACCGTTTGGGCCAGACTGTTGCCATTTCGCCACGTCTCGATAAAAATACAAGTCATCTTTCTATTTGCTCTAGCATTAGAATAGAAACTTTTAACATTTTTCTTTGTGCATATTTTAAAGGTAAGGTGCGAAATGTGAGAAGTTTATAAAATATGTCAGCTTATAGCTCATACTTTTTAGTAACTCAAAATATCCGATCCTCAGCATTCTGACAACATAGTTTAAACTAACTCTTTTTAAATTGAAGGTATATTATTTTACAAGGTTAGCATAATTATGACAATTAACATCTTGAAATTGATTGAAAATACTCAAAAATAAAATATTTTGATAATTTCCTCATTTAATTCAGCAAAATTGTTCAGAATTGATTTTATAAATTAAAAAGTTCTTGAAGCGGGAAATAAAAAAAACCATGAATACTTGCGCTGATTGTGTATGCAATTGTGGGTAAGATATATTAACATTTAAATCGAAAGCTTTTAAGATTTCACAAAAAACTTTAATAATAGAAATAGCGATTGACACTATATATTCACCTTATTTTCAACCGTGTTCCATGTTCTACAAGGTAGGGGGAAGTATTAGTGGAGGTTGTTTCAATTTTCGGTATAAGATTCAGGTAGAATATTTTTTTTCAGGTGTAAATTGTATAAATCCACATCATCTAATTTATCAAGTATATTATTATAGATCCCAAAGTACTTTTTTTTATATCTTCATCTGACATTTTAAAGCTCATTTTTACACAAAAACACGACATAAAAAATAAATTCAGAGTAAACATATATATTGAAAAGATTTCAAACATGCGATTTGAGAGGTAAGGAAAACTTAAAATTAGTATTAGAATTAAAATAGTTAAAAACTTACTAACGTGTCGACAATAAACTAATTTCGAAATATAAATCTAAATTATAATTTTCAAAATAAGTGCTGTCTCGCTACTCTATCTAAATACTAACGCAATAACGGTGTACTGCTTGCAACAAGAACAAATAGTAATAAACAAGTCAGAAGAATCCAAATAAGGACTACAGAAAAAGCAAGTTTTTTTCTGAATAGAGCAACCATGCCAATTTTTCTTTAACAAATCTATATATATNATATATATATATATATATAAATACATTATATTAAATATGTATTGTATTAAATATACACCGAAGAGTCATTACATTATGACCACCCTCCATCCATAAAAATGGGCTAGCCCAGGTCTTCATGGTTTCTCGCCCAGGAACAATGTTTTCAAGGGACACATTAGGACCCATAATCCTCATAGAACAATCCCTGAAGTCTGTAAGCTACTTGAACATAGTTGCAGACCAGATTCACCCATTCATGGTAACAGTTTTTCTTACGGGGGATGATGTTTACCAACAGGATAATGCACAATGTCATAAGGGTCGAATCGTCATGGATTGGTTCGAGGAACATTCCAGTGACTTTCAAACTGGCCAGAATAACTTAATATCATTAATATCTTATGAAACGCAGCTGATTTGAGCTCAGAAATTAATTATTTATTTTAATGAAAACAAAATTATCTGTTTGAAAATACCGCCTCGCTCACTTAGCTGTAGTAAGCAGCAATTGTCGAAACCGGAAGTTATGAAAGCAAGCTCGAAAGTTATTTCTGTTTACATTTGCATTGAAAATACCATCCATAGATTTGGCTTACAGGCCGAAACTTCCTGGACAATGCTAGACCTGTCAGCGAAGGCTAAAATTGATCTCACTCAATACCTTCTAGAAAAGACAAGGACTCAGCAAGAGTCCCCATAAGCAAGAAATTCGATCGTTTAATAGTCCAAACGTAAAGACATTTTGCGAAAGCTCCCCCTCTGCGTAACTTAGTAGCCCGAACGTAGTGACATCTTTTTTATTTTTCCTCCACTGCGCAGTTTATGTTCGCTACGTCGGACTGCTAAATTGAGTCATGCTGAGACCTCTCTTACTTGGAGGTGTTGTCTAATGTCGGAGCAAATTAGGGACAAGCTGGATTTCTTTAGTACTTAATGAGGGAAATATTTTCATAAAAGACTCCACCTTCTTCATCCCTTTATGGAGTCTTTAATTTATTTTGGAAAAATTCTTTTATTGACTAAGCTATAAGAAAGATGGTATACCACAAGAGAAAACCTTTATGGCTCTTTTATCTACATAAGTAATTACAAATGAGAGCTCAAATGCTGAAACACTTTTTTTTCTTCAAAATGCAAGCAAATTAAGTCAGGATTACGCTACGGAGAAGTAGTCCTGCGATAATTTGCTCGTATTTAGAGATTTTGAGCAAATAAAAAATGTTTCAGCATTTGAAACTTAATGCAGATGCTTAATGCAGACTTAACTTTAACTCACTTTCTTCTATATTTGAAATAACCAAATGAAGGTGAAACAGAATTAGCCATGAAAAGTTCCTTCTCGCGGTGTAGAGTCCTTTTCAAGATCAATTGCAACCAACTCACGTCATTGACAAACACTTTTTTTTATTGGCAAAAACGTTGCCAAAAGTCTGATGCAAGGGATATTGAGTCGAAAATTTATCCTATTTGTATTACATAGAGCGTGGAAATAAATTCTGTTTCTTTTCTACACTTTTCTTCTTTTTCTTTTTAGTTCCAACGGAGTTTGAAAAAAAAAGTCATGTATATAACTTGTTTTCGTTTTTTTAATTCATTTATTTAAATAAAATTGGAAAAAAAAATTTTGCCGAATTTTTATAAAATAATTATTTTATAAGAGTTTTTAGGACTGTTAAAATCTCCAAGTTTGATAGAATTCTCTGTAAAAACGTCTGTCAAATGATTTCATTTATTAAGCACATAAATTGTATAAAGCAGTTATATAAATGTTTTAATAAAAACCTGTATTTTAGGAAACACCAATGTATGTACAGACAGCATAGGGATGTTATAGCACCAATTGTTTACTCGACTTACAACAAGAAAGATAAGTACCAGCAACTGGTTCGTAAAATTCAATCACTACCTAAAATTTCTTGCTAAAACATAACTATTCGTAAGAATCAAATTGCATCACGCAAGTGCTGGTAACTTTAACCAAAACCTCCTTGAAAAGAGAAGGCATCCGGGTTAAAGCATAAATAAAAAATTCGTTCTTTTAGTAGTCCAAACGTAATGACATATTTCGTATTTTCCACCACTGCGCAGCTTAGTAGACCGAATGCAGTGACATTTTTCTTATTTTTTATCCTCTGTGCAGTTTACGTTCGTTATGTTTGATAACTAAATTGATCCGTGCTGAGGCCTTCTTTCTTGTAGGAGGTGTTGCTTTAACTTCACTGACATGCCAACCTATAAAGTTGGCTTTTTCAGGTAGGAAAAAAAATTCAGTTTTGTGGATAAAACGAGGTTTTGTCTACATATTCAATTAAACATTAAAATAAAAATCTGCATAAAATAAATGTTGTTTCTTGGACAAGCTAAACTCACCAGTGATTAGCTGTCACCGAATTAAGTCAGAAAAGTTTGCTTTTCGTTTGACAAGAGAGAATTGGAAGGATGAAAATACGTCTTAACTCAGAACTTCAGGAATAAATTTCAGCACCACTCAATCGCATAGCAACTTCCTCAATTTAGACATAGATATGAAGAGGAAAGAAATTTTCTCTAGTTTCCTGTGTCCTTAGCACTGCTCAGTGATCGACCACAGGAATTTTGATTTCAAAGATTTTACAAGCACGTATATCGCATGCACTTAGTTCGCGGACTCGAGTATCGAATTCCTGCCCCCCCCCCGGACCGGAGTCTGAGTTTATAACCACTACCCTACCACAGCCCAAGAACATAAATATTTATGTAAAACAAAGAATTTGTGTGCGCATATGTCTGCACACTGGATTACGGGTATACCGTAGGCGCTAGTAATACAACATTCTACATAAAGCTAAACAAGTACGATTCTAAATAAATTACGAAGCCAGATTTTTGACTCTTGAATTAAAAATTTTTTCAGGTGCATTTTTACTGTAACTTTCGCACTTCGAAGCCGTTCAAACGAAACGTCCTAGAATTTTAGTTTTTCTTTTCACATCGCAAAATTCAAACTTTTACTTTTAAAATCGACATCTCATTTTCTTCTATTTTTTTTAAAAAATAATTTGAGAAACCCACTTTTTCGTCATCTTTTTTCCCTCGAAATTTTTAAATTGTGACATCTAATTTAGCAGCCTTCGAATTTAAATAAAGATATGTAGTAAATTTCCCACCTTCATTTAAAACCCGAAAGAAGAACAGCGAATAATTTGACGATTTCAATTAATTTTTAAATGCATAGAAGTTTAAAGAAATTTGTTTTCTCCTCGGCAATTATTTCTACTATTCACATTTTAGAAGAATTAAAGTACAATATATCGATACAAATCAGCAAACAACTGGTAATAAAAATGAGTTTCTGCAACTCAATGACTTTACTTTTATTTAAAAAAAATTTCGAATTTTTTTTTCTAAGGAAAGAAATTTTTTTGAAATTTTGAAAGAAAATTTTTCTAAGTCGAAGTCTTTTTGAACCGAATCTAAGTTTTTTGCATGCAGTCTTTTCATAACTGGTGTCCCTAACTTAAGCATACTTTTATGCTGGACACATGTGTAAAAGTAATTTTAACTTACTCGTATACTCTGGTGTCTAAACACCAGATGCGATGTATGCGAGTCTTCAAACTTAGTAATTCCATTCTGTTTTTCAAAGGCTTTGTAGTCGCATGAAATGACGTTTTTTTGCGAATAATATGCTGATTTTATAACTGATGGGAGTTTGTAACAGTTACTTATGATCGTTAGGTCAAGTTCAGTCTATCTACTGCCACTATTTACTCTGCTTATGGCGCAAAACGTTAATATGCCGCAGAAAAACAACAGTTTTGATAAAATAAAAGTGTTTGTGGTCTAATTTTTAATTAATTCAAACTTTACTCCAATGCTGAACTATCTGGGTTCATAAAAACTTGCAAGAAATTGGAATAATCATTGATTTTGATAATCTTCATTTAGCTGCTAAAAATGCCGCCATATTGGCGGTTTTTAAAGAAGTTTAATAACTTCAAATATATTTTAGTTATTTCTCTGTTCTAAAGTTCAGATAATTCTTTACAGCAAGACGGCATAAATAGTTTAAAATTACAGCTTTGTTCGAGTGTAACGTGCTTAGACTGTGGTTTTTTGATTTTCCTTGGTGATAGAGGTTCGAAAAACCTTGTTAATGTGCTTTTTATTCGCTTTCTGCATATCTTAAAATTAAATTCTGTTGGATTAATGCTTTTATGACTAAAATGTTTTTGTTGATATTGTTTTTTTCTCTTCCTTTTTAAAATAGAATACTTTTCTGGGACCAAATTGAATACGAAAATTGTGATTTAAAATCTTTAAGCGTCGCAACTTTTTAAGTTGGTACTTCAGTTCTTTATCTGGATTTTGGATTTCTTTTAAAACTAATCATTACATCCAATCGAAGGTTAGTAAGGAAAGTTTGATCTCTAACAATGGGTTTTCGTAAGCGGTGCAAATTGGTGTACCGGTCATCAAATATTATATTCTATTTGCAAATATAAATAATTTAATAAAAATCATGTAAAAAATTTAAAAAAGAATGTCGCGAGATTGTGTTTATTTTGATTTTATTTAAAATTAAAATAATAATAAACAAAATAGTTAAAAAAATGATTTCAGAAATTAAATTTAATAATTTTAAAAAATAAATTTCTTTTAGTTATCATTTGAAAAATTCTGTTCATTTAAAATCATTTGAAAAAAATTATCATTTTAAATCATTTAAAAAAAATTATCATTTTAAATCATTTGAAAAATTCTGTTAACTTTTAAAAAATAATTTTAATGGTATTTAATTTATTTGAAATAGGAATGTCGTCCATATTGCTGTGCTCCACCTGTTGCTTCCATGAAACCATATTCTTCTAACTGGATAAACGTCGTGGATCAGCCGGTGCATCATTTAAGTACCTCATGCGGAGAAGAAAAGGTATACAAGTATATATATTGAGAGTATTCTTTATTGACTATCGTTAACATATATTTTTTGAATCCTCGTCAAAATGGAAGTTGAAAGAGCATACTCGTTAAGAGTCTCAAATAAATTTTTAGCAAGGAGTAAAACAGAAAAAGCTATCGAAATCTAACAAATCATTAATGACAGAATGACCGAAAGCATGAAAAATCTGTTTAGAATGTGACGAAGGTAATTTGGAGGTGTTTCGATTCAACACCATCTGTTTTAAACATTTTGATTTCGATTTTGAATGCGGTGTTTGTTCTTTCTCGCTTAAATATAAATTAGAGATCCTATATAAGGTCACACACCGAGGAGGCAAGTTTTAAATACGAGACATACGAGAGGCAGATTCCCATATTTTTTCTTTAGCATGCGCACTAGGACTGGGCGATGTTAAGATTTCAGCATCGTGATGCATCGCCACTCAAACATCGCGATGTCACATTACTATTTCACATTTGGTTTTGCCAAATTTTGCATTCTTGCTCACCTTTACTTTTTATTTATTTGATGCTACTGTAAAGTAAGACTAAATCTAAAATTTTAAATATATATATTAGATTTTTAGAATTTAAACTTTGTGTGTTTGGGGAAAAAAGAGAGTAAGATTTCAAGAGGGATATTCAGAAAAAATTTATAAAAGTGAAAATCTGCCAAAATGCATCAACTTTACATTATACGAATTATATTCATTTTATAGGTATTTAATTTCAATAAAGTTATATAAAGCGAAAAAAGTAAAGATAGGAGTAAATTAAATGTATTACTTTATATCCGGGTATATCAATGTTTAGTAAATTGATTATTTTCTTCTTTTGGATTAAAATAATTTGATAGACTGTCTTTTTCAATTTAAATAAAACACATCTTTTCAAACTTTTCTGAAAACAATCGGAAGTTTTTAAATTAAAGAAATAGGGTATTGAATATATAGTTAACTAGTGAAACGAATAATTCATTAAAATTTTACATTCAGCTTAAAAAATGAGAAATTATCTTTAAGGATGAATTAAAAAAAAAAGAATAGTATTTCAACCTTAGCCAACAAAAATTATCGTTAATTTTCAACATTCTTAAAGATGGTTAGGTATCTTAGACAAAAACACATTAAAAAATTATTACATTAAGAAATAATTTTTCTAGAAAATAAAATTAGAAGAAATTGGTGCATTTTTTCAGCTCTCATATTGTAATAAATTTATCTTAACATGGATATTTTAGCATTTGATATTTGTGGATAGAGTGCAGTGCATGAAAAAAAAATTACTGTTAATTGGATTACAAAATTGGATAATTATTAAATTACATAATTGGATTTCAAAAAGTCTGATTTTTTTTTAATTTATTTTTCAGAAACTATTCAACTAATTTCTTTTAACTTTTTTATTTTAAAATAAAAAGTTATATTTTTTTAAAAAAATTGTATACCTTACATTTCAAACTTTTTTCGACTATTACTAATAAAAAAATTAATTAAAATCATTTTTACATAAAATTATCTTTGGATAAACGAATTATGTCCGCCAACTGTAAAAATAAAATAGATGCAATTATAAAAATAAAATTTTAAATGTGCATTGAGCCAACAATTTAAAAATCTTTATTTATAAACAGAAAAATAAAAAACGTAATAGAAAAAGATAAAAAAAAAATATATATGGATTGAGAAAGCTAGAAAACTTAGAACAGCTGATGCGCATAACTTCTTGACCTTTCATTCTCCAGAATTTCTTGAAGAATATCTTTCAATAATTTATTGAAGGCAGTAGATATATTGAAGGTAGTAACCTTCAATAATTTTGAGGAAATAGAGAAAAACCAGTATAAAAACAAAATTTCCTGAAAAAGGATACGATGGAAATTATTATGGCTTCAATATTGTAAAAATCAATTATTTGAAAATTTCTTTTCAAAATTATTGCTGACCTAATGTATTATTATGTTGCTAAACTATATTTCGTGGAAATAAAATTTAACTGCACACTCTTATTAAAATTGTTATAAATAAGGAAGATCGAAAAGCAGTCAAGTCGAAAAAGAAAATGCTAAAGAAA